TCTAAGTGAAAATTTATTTTGTCCCGGATTATCATCTCTAGAAATTTCCCCTCTACTGATGTTAGGATGACTGCCCTGTATTTCCCGGGTTTATCCTTTTCCCCTTTTTCTACAGGGTTGTAACATTTGCAACCCTCCAGTCCTCTGGCATCACCCCGATGTCCAAGGAGGACTGAAAGATTGTGGCCAGAGCCTCCGCTTTTTCCACGCTTACCTCCCTCAGTAACCTAAGATCATCCTCACCAACGAGGCCATTCACGGCCTTGCACCCTCCTACCTCTCCGACCTACTATCCCCCTATTTACCTGCCCGTACCCTTCGTTCCTCTGGCTCCGGTCTGCTCCACATCCCCCGCCCTACCATCGGTGGCCGGGCTTTCAGCCTCTCAGCCCCGAGGCTCTGGAACTCCATCCCCCAGTGCCTTCGCCTTGTTTCCTCCCTTTCCTCCTTCAAGGCCGGTCTCAAGACCTTTCTCTTTAACTGTGCCTTCAGCTCCCCTCTCGACTCTCTAACCCCTCCTCGCTCCCTCCCTTCCCTCCCCTCACCATTTCCCCCCTACTCGGGTCCTGACCCAACTGTCCAGCGCCTTGGGACATTCTCCTGATGTGAAAGGCGATCTATAAATGCAATCATGTTGTTGTTGTAGGATGCATCCCATCCACATCAGAAGACTTATCTACCTTGAGCACCATCAACCTCTTTGTTTATTTCTATCCTATCTTATTTGTCTATTCTCTCCTCCGATACTGTGGCATTGGCTGCATCTTCTTTTGTGAAGACAGATACAAAGTACTCATTCAATACATGAGCCATGCCCTCTGCCTCCACAAGAAGATTTCCTCTTTGGCGCATAATCACCCTTCCCCCCCAACCTTTGACTAACCTTTTATCTATATACTAATACAACGAAAATGTCTGTCTGCACTTCAAGAAGGATCTCAATAACACATTGACATAGTGACATCTACATTCCATATTGGATCCTTTGGTTGCAAGGATAGCTCTTTATATGCTTATAAAATACCTTCGGGTTCCCATTTATGTTACCCGCTAATCTTTTCTCATACAATCTCTTTGCCCCTCTTATTTACTTTTTCAGTTCTCCTCTGTGCTTTCTATATTCAAACCACGACTGTCTGTGGGACACTGCTGTTCGCAATTGACTGCCGCATTTTGCCAACAAATATACAGTCAATTCACTTTGCAGTCTATTCTGTGAAGCACTTTGAGACGTCGAGAAAATGTGAAAAGCGCTATATCAAATGCAAGGATTATTATTGTTATTATTATTCTGTTTGATTATCTTCTATATGTTGGACCTGACATCGTCCCTTTCCAAGGCTGTAACAATGTCTTTGACCGATACTGCCACACCGCCTCCTCTTTTATTCCTTCTCTATCCCTCCTGAACACATTGTAACCAGGAATATTCAGCTCCCATTCCTGCCCTGTTTGACCCAAGTCTCCGTTATTGACACTACACCATAACCCCATGTGGCAACTTGAGCCGCAGCTCACCAATATTATTTGTCACACTCCATGCATCTATGCACATGCGCTCCAAGACCAATTAGCCTGTTCTCCATTTTCTCCCCATCTAATCCCTCCTTTTTTCCAGACTTCGCCTTATTTCATTCATCTCTTTGAGTCCTCTATGTAACATGTTTATCCTCTCTGATGTTACACTCTGGTTCCCTTCCCCCCTCAAAATGAGTTTAAATTCTTCCCCACAGCACTAGCTAATCTCCCTGTGAGGACATTGGTCCCTGTTCAGGTATAACCCATCCACCTTTTACAGTTCCCACCTGCCCCAGAACTAGTTGCAATGTTCCAGGAACCTGAATCCCTGCTTTCTGCACAATTTCTCCAGCCATGCATTCATGTCTTTTGTTCTGCTGTTTGCATGCAGCACTGGGAGTAATCCAGGGATTACCAATTTTGAGGTCCTGCTGTTTAGTTTTCTTCCTAGCTTCTGAAATTCCCACTGTAGGATCTCAGCCCTTTTTTCCCCTACATCATGGCTCGCAACATGGACTATGACTTCTGGCTGTTCCACTTTTCCCCGTAGAATGTTTTGCATCCGTTCATGAAGTCTTCAACCATTGCACCATGGAGGCAACACACAGTGTGAGACTCACATCTGCGGTTGCAGAAGAGCAGGTCTATCCCTTTGACAGTTGTGTCCCCAATTACAACTGCATTAGCACTCTTCCCTGTGTCCACCTGTGCATTGCTACTCTTCCCTGTGTTTACCTGTGCATTGATACTCTTCCCTGTGTTTACCTGTGCATTGATACTCTTCCCTGTGTTTACCTGTGCATTGATACTCTTCCCTGTGTTTACCTGTGCATTGATCCACTTCCCTGTATCCCCGGGTGCATTGGTTTGCTTTTGACTACCCTCCTCAGAGGCGTCACCACCCTCACCAGTATTCAATACAGGGAACCAGTTTGTGAGTGCCACACTATCGGAGGATTTCTGCTCTGCCTGTCTACTCTTCCTTCCATACCGGGTAGTCACTCACTCACTCTCCTTCTGAACCCTCTGTGGCTGTGGGGTTACCACCTCCTGAAGCGTTCAATCCATGAACTCTTCAGCGTCCCACATACGCTATGTAGTGATTCCAGCCTCTCCTTGAGCTCAGAAACCCTGAGCTTGAGCAGCTGAAGGCATTTCCTACACACGTGTTTGTCCAAAGCATCCTGAAGTTCCCACATGGCACACAAGCTGACCTGCCATATTCCCAGACATTTTTTAAATTAATTATTTAATAATTATGCACCTCTCACCAAACTCCCACTCTGTTCCACCTCACTCAGTTACCTCCTCACTCTCTACACGAGTGAAGTTCTTGCAAGTCTTCCCTTTATATAGACCTCAGACATACCCAGTTTCAACTGGTCAGTAAATTAACTAATCCCCAACACCTGGTCTGTGACTAACTGCCAATTTGACTTGTTTACCTGAAAACTTCTCTCTTCCCGAAGAAACAATTCCCATTCTTTTCCTGAAAGAAAGCGTTCCCTCTTGCTCTCTAGTTTCTAAATTCTGTCTTGCTCTCTTGCTCAAGAATTACCTTTATGGATCTGCACTTGGCTAGTTCACATCCTACCTCTCCCACCATCTCCACTTTGTCTCCACTAAAGGCTTCTTCTCCAGCCCATGCACCATCATGTTTGGGGTCCCTCAGGGCTCTGTCCTTGGTCCCCTCCTTTTCAACATTTACATGCTCCCTCTGGTGACATCATCCGTAGACGTGGGGTCACCTTCCACATGTATGCGGAAGAGACACCCAACTCTACTTCTCCGCCTTCACCCGCGACTCTAGGACCACTGCTGACCTCATGCATATCTGTTAGGCATCAAATTCTCGATGAGAGCAAACTTCCTCCAGTGAATGTCAACAAGCCAGAGGCCCTCCTGTTTGACTCCCGTCAGCGCCTGCATCACCCTTCATGGATACGCTCTACACCTCACAGACCCAATATGGAACCTCGGCATCCTGTTTGACCCTCAACTATCCTTCACCCCCTACATCCGTGCCATGATCCGCTTCACCTTTCCCCAGATTGCCTGGCTTTGCCAATGTCTCTCACCGCAGACCGCTTAGACCCTCATCCACTTATTCATCACATCTAGCCTTGACTAAACAAACTGCTTGCTTGTCAGCCATCCCGACTCCTCCCTCCACAGGCTGCAAATCATCCAGAACTCTGCAGCTTGTATCCTATCCCGCACTAGGCTCCGCAATCCTATTACCCCCATCCTCACCCAGCTCCACTGGCTCCACATCACTCAGAGTATACAGGTTAAGATCCTGGTCCTCACCTTCAAAGGCCTCCATGGCTTTGCTTCTCCCCTACCTCTTTGACCTCTGAACTCCCACCAACTTATCCGCTCCCTATTCGGTCAGCGGGCTCCAGTTTGCTTCATGTCCCCCACCTGGCTTTCCCCACCATTGGTGGTTAGGCCTTCAAGCTGTCTGCTCCCACCCTATGGAATTCGATCCCACAGTCCCTTGCCCTCGCAATCCTTGTGATTGATACATAGAAAAATAGGCACAGCAGTAGGCCATTCAGCCACTCAAGCCAATTCCACCATTCTATAAGATCATAGATGATCTGTACCTCAACTCCAATGACCCACCTTTTCCCATATGCCTTGATACCCTGACCTAACAAATATCTATCCACCTCTGTCTTGAAAATGTGAATGAAAGCATCCACAGCCTTTTGGGGGAAGAGAGAGTTCCAGATTTCCACAACCCTTTTTGTGTATGAAAAACTGCTTCCTGATTTCACTCCTAAACATCTCACTCTCTTCTCTCTGACTGTTGCAGACTACCCCAGGTGACATTACTATGTCAGCCCCATTCTGTTCCCTGCAGGTTTCAGCATGAGCCAGGCTCCAATGCCCTGCAGGTGATGATTGCTAATCTCTTTAACTTGCAGGGAACAGACTTCATCAATGAGAGGAAATTGAAGTTTTCAGCGGCGTGCCTGCCCACTTGCTCGTTCATTCAACAACTCCACCTCCACACCAGGTTTGATTATATCTTAATGTGCCTGACATATGCTGTCTCAGCTCTGCAGAAAGTCCCAGAGTGAGATAATAAGAATAACAAAATATTTGATGCACAGCCTTTCACATGAAAAAAAATCTCAAAGCTCTTCAAAGGATATACTGTAAAGTGTAATGTCTGTTGATTTTATGGGACGTCCTTCCAGCGTGAAAGACTCTATATGAATGTTGTTTATAGGCAAACAATACTGCCAATTTGCACACAGCAATGACCCACAAACAATCATGAAGTGAATGAAGAAAACTTGTGCTCCATTAAATGGAGTGGGGGATGATGGAAACCTGGATGAATGTGACAGTGTGTAGGGTTGTGTGTTTGAAAGGTTGTTTGTGTAGATTTCCTAAGTTGAGGTTCTTCTCTTGTTTTACAGGAGGTGCCACCATTGCTTGCCCAGTGAGTACAGTCAGCCCCAGTCACTATGGAGGTCTTCTGCATTAGCTGCATAAAATACCTGATGTTCATCTTCAATGTCTTTATAAGTGTGAGTAGTGAATGTGACCTTTGGAGGGTTTGTGGGGGTAATGATTCAAGAGTCTTTATCTAGAGACCTGTAACTCAGTGGTTAGAGCACTCGCTTTGCAAGTGAGAGACCCGAGTTCAATTCCAGGCAGAGGGCCAACCTTGGGCAAGTTTCCTTACTCCACACAGAGCCTAATAATCCTTCCAAAACCAAAACCAATAATAAATTGGTCATTTTCAATCTACGACTGTTTGTGGGACATTACTGTGCACAATTGGCTGCCGCGTTCGCCCACAAATATACAGTCAATTCACTTTACAGTGTGTTCTGTGAAGCGCTTTGGGACGTCCTCCCGACGTGAAAAGCGCTATATCAAATGCAAGGATTATTATTATTATATAAGCAGACACATCCACTGTCAATAACCACAACATAATAATGATCCTTGCATTTGATATAGCAGCTTATCACGACTTTGAGACATCTCAAAGTGCTTCACAGTATATACTGCAAAGTGAGTTGACTGTATATTTTGTGGGCAAAACATGGCAGCCAATTGCACACAGCAATGTCCTACAAACAGTCATGGATTGAGTGACCATATTATTATTTTTTTTTGAACGGATTATTACCACTGGAAAAGCGATCTGTCAATCGACTAACAACCGGGTTCCTGCTTACTGCTAGGTAAACAGAGGCTTGTGGAGTAAGGAAACTTGCCCAACATTTTGCCCTGCCCAGGAATCGAACCCAGGTTCTCTCGCTTGCAAGGCAAGTGCTCTAACTACTAAGCTACAGGACTCCACATCACTTTATATAGTGCACTTCACACAGGATAGTGTTTCTGAGCACTTTTCAAGGACAGAACCAAGTATCAACTAGATACTGCTTTTTTACTCAGTGTCACCTTGTCAGGGTTTAACAATGAATGATATTTTAACTATCAGACAGCTTGTTCACCTGGTAGCACTCTCACCTCTGAATCAGAAAGTTGTGGATTCAAGTCCTGGGGATTTTGAGCTCATACTCAATGCTGATGCTCCAATGCTGTGCTGGGGGAGCACTGTATTGTCAGAGGCTCTGCACTTTGAATGAGACTTTAAACCAAGGTGTCGTCTGTCCATTTAGGTGAATGTCAAAGATCCCAGTGGAAATAATTTGAGAAGAAATGGGAATTTCTCCCAGTGTCATTGGTCAACAATCCTCCAAATAATACTGGTCACTCTCTTCATGACTGTGCACAAAATTGCCTCCTACATTTGTCTTCTCAAACATAATTATTCTGTGAAGCTCTAATGAAACTGTTGGAACATTAAAGGCACTGTGTCAAATCACTCACTGTTTGATGTTTGTTAGGTCAGGGTATCAAGGGATATGGGGCAAAAGGCAATTGGAGTTGTGGTTCAGATCAGCCATGAACATGTTTGAGGGGCTTAATGGCCTACTCCTGTTCTTATGTTTCTATGTATCAATCACAAGGATTGTTTGTTGTAGTGTAGGTGGAGGAAGCTCTGAGTGGATGGAAATTGTTGGTTGGTGGCGGGTGGCAGTGCAATGACAGTGATGGGTTTGTCTTGCAGTTTGGCGGAATGATTCTTCTCGGGGGAGGAATCTGGGCCATGGTCGATCGTTCGGGATTCAAGGAAATCGTGGCTGCCCACGACCTTCTGCACACGGCCGCCTACATAATTATCACCGTGGGGTCTGTGCTGTTTATAGTGGGATTCATGGGCTGTTTTGGAGCCATCCGGGAAAACCGACCCATTCTCATGATTGTGAGTGTATTAATCCTCTGCTACCTCCCTCGCCTCCTCTCCAGGACACTGCTGATGACAGCCTGACTTGTTGGCAGTGCTTGGAAGGGTAGACCAGTGCTGGGGCAGGGATTCTCCCTACTTGCCTCCTGTTAATCCTACAAAGCCCTAGCTTTAGTATGGTGATTCTCCAGGCGATAGACACACGGATGGGCCCCTGATGGGCATTCTCACCTTTCTGTCCTCCTCTTAGGGTACAGCTCCTGTAGCCACGGCAATATTCGCCCACATGCTTACCTTCCTGCTCGGGAGGGCTGATATTCCCCTCTCAAAATCAATAACCCCCGTGAGATCAGTAACTCAGCACAGACCAGGTTAACGTCCCTCATCTGCTGGTTCCAAAATCAATCCATGACCAGGTTAAATGCCAGCCAGTCAAAATTAGGTGTTCAAAATTATGAGGGGAATTTATAGAGTGTACAAGGAGAAACTGTTTCCACTGGCGGGTAGTAACCAGAGGACACAGATTTAGGTTAGTTGTCAAAAGAACCAAGGGGGAGATGAGGAAAAAAAATTTCACACAGCAAATTGTTCGGATCTGAAAGGGTGGAAATAGAAATGATAGCAACTTTCGAAGGAGACGTGGATAGATATTTGGGCAGAACAAATTTGCAAAGCTGTTGGGAGAGAGCGGTGGAGTGGTATTAATTTGGATAGCTCTTTGAAAGAGCCAGCATAGACACGCTGGATCGAATGACCCTCCTTCTGTGCTGTATAATTCTATGATTCTAGTCAGTCAGCTAGCCCATCAGTAGCCGCTGGGTGGGTGATGATATCAGTGCATGTGGCTTAGTCACCACAGTGACATCTACCTTTTCTCCTCTCCAGTTCTTCGTCCTCATCCTGATGATCTTCTTGATGGAGTTCATCTGTGGAATCCTCGCGTTCATCTTCAGAAAGCATGTGAGTCACAGTGCTCGTGGGTCAGGGGAAGGGGAATAAATAATAATCCTTGCATTTGATATAGCGCCTTATCACGTCATTGAGACATCTCAAAACGCTTCATAGAATATATTGTGAAGTGAATTGACTTGTGTATTTTGTAGGCAAAATGCGACAGCCAATTGTGCACAACAGTATCCCACAAACAGTTGTGGATTGAGTAACCAAATTTTTATATTTTGGAGGGATTATTACCCCCAGAACATGATCCACCAATCGCCTAACAACCGGGTTCCTATTTACTCTATGTAAACAGATGTGCGTGCATGGAGTAAAGAAACTTGTCTAAGGTTTGACCCTGCTGGCGGAATCAAACCCAAGTCCTCCCACTTGTGAGGTGAGCGCGCTACAGGGATCCACATGAAATGGGCAGCACAGCTGATATTTTTCACAGTGGAGTGAGCGTGCTCCACTGGTGAGAGTACACAGGGATTGTTGATCCTTGCCTCTGGAGTAACCAGTTTGAATGTTATATTTGCAGCTGAACGAGAAATACTTTTTAGATGAATTGAAGGATTTGTACCAAGGAGACAACCACACAGAGGTCTTCACAACCACGTGGAACAGCATCATGATCACAGTAAGTTCCTTTCACAGTTATCCCGCTACTCTCTGCACCCCTCAATAATAATCCATGCATTTATATAGTACCGTATCACATCACCATAACCCCTTCACACCAGGTTCCATTGGCTCCCCATTGCTGAACGGGTTGATTTCAAGATCCTCACACTCATTTGAAAATCCCTGGTACCTACCTCTCCGAACTGCTTACATCCCAAACCACAATCCGTTGCCCCCACTCGACTGGCTCTGGCCTCCTGCATGTCCCCCAGGCACTACACCCCGAAACTCTGATTGTTGTTCTCTCAAAGCTCTTCACAGAATATACTGTGAAGTGAATTGACTGTATATTATGTGGGGAAAATGAGGCAGCCAATTACACATAGCGGTGTCCCACAAGCAGTCGTGGATTGAGTGACCAAATTATTATTATTGTTTGTTCTTGAAGGAATTATTACCCCCAGAAAAGTGATCTGCCAATCGACTAACAACCAGGTTCCCACTTCCTGCTAGGTAAAAAGAGGTGTACGGAGTAAGGAAACTTGCCCAACGTTCCGCCCTGCCCGGGAATCAAATCCAGGTCTTCTCGTTTGCGAGGAGCGTGCTCTAACCACCGAGCTACAGGACTCCATGGCTGTGTGTTGCGTGTGCCCTATGTGTGTTTGCTGTTTCTCCGGTAGGATAGTGCGAGAATCTCTGATCCCTTTGGTCATGTTTCTCAGTTTTCGTGCTGTGGGGTGACAGGAATGGATGACTTTAAGGAGGCGGTGAAATTCAATGCTCTCTTCCCCGGGTTCGTGGTGCCGGAGGCTTGCTGCAGGAGGGACATCTACTCCTTCAAAGGGAAAATCAATGACCCACAATTGTGCATCAAAGGCAAAAGGCACTTCATCAATTTTGAGGTAGATCAGAGGCTGGTCGGGGGAAGGGCATGCACATGCGCACTCATAAAATGTGCGAGGATGTGTCCGATTCACTGTGTGTCTGAGTCAAAGCCCTACCTGGCCTTACTCCATCCTACCTGTCACCTGCTAACTCCATACTGAACTGACTTCTCCATCCATTCAGCAAGTTCCGGCCTGCTCCATGTCCCCTGCCCTGCCCGCACCACCATCAGTGGGTGGGTCTTCTGCCCTTCTTCCCACACTCTCAATTACTTCATCCCAGTCCCTTCACCTTGCCCCCTCCCTTGCCTCTCTCAAGACCCTCCTTTTCAACTGTGCCTACAGCCACCCTCCTACCACTACCCTGCACCCCTCCTGATCCCAACACCCCCTGCTCAGGTCCAAATCTCTGACTGTCCAATGCCTTGGGACATCCTCCCGGCATGAAAGGCACTTATAAAAAAGGAATTTGTTGTTGTTCTCTTTCAGGGCTGTTACAACAAAATCGTGGATTACATGAAGGAATACATGTACCTGACTTTATCATTAGTTGTTGTGGTGATGCTGATCGAGGTAATGACCAGGGAACATTTATCCAACCTTGTTGTGGGACTGACCATTTCGAGCCCGTATCACTCAATGTCACTCACAAAATGGCCTTAGCCTCACACTGTCAGTCACCAAGTCACTCTGTCACCTTCTCTCTGCTCAGCCTGTGTCTCAAGTTATGTTGTTCAGAATAAACAATTGTGTAGCTCAGTGCCTAGAGCACTCGCCTCGCAAGCGAGAGACCTGGGTTTGATTCCCGGGCAGGATGAAATGTTGGGCAAGTTTCCTTACTCCACACGCCTGTTTACCTAGCAGTAAGTAGGAACATGGGTGTTAGTCGATTATCAGATCACTTTTCCGGGGGTAATAATTCCTTCAAAAAAATATTAATAATAAATTGGTCACTCAAGCCACGACTGTTTGTGGGACAATTGGCTGCCACATTTTGTCCACAAAATATAGTCAATTCACTTTACAGTATATTCTGTAAAGCACTTTGAGACATCTCAAAGACATGATAAGGTGCTATATCAATTGCAAGTATTATATTAATAATAATCCTTGCATTTGATATAGCGCCTTATCACGTCTTTGAGATGTCTCAAAACACTTCACTGTAAAGTGAATTGACTGTATAATTAGGGGGTATATCGTGGCATGCAATCATTCACCGCAGTATCCCACCCAATTTTTTTTATTTTGGAGGGATTATTACCCCAGAAAGCAATCCACCAATCGACTAACAACCAGGTTCTTACTTACTGCTTGGTAAACTGATGCATAGAGTAAGGAAATTTGCCTAAGGTTTCGCCCTGCCCAGGTCCTCTCGATGCTCTAACCACTACACTATGGGACTCCACAAGTTTAAGGAGTCTATCATTCTGATCTCAGAAAAGGTGGCTGATGGTAGGACAATGGACGCATTTAAGAAACACCTCGATCTCCAATGGGAGATGGGACAGGTGAGTATTCTGGACGGAAATTAAATAGATTGAAAAGAAACCTCTCCTTATCTGGAGTGCGCGTCCCATTCCAACAATCTATCCCTGGAATTTCCATGTGTAGGTGGGATACATGGAATTCTCAACTTGGTTTGGAGATTTTTTAAGCATGGTGATGGGTTTCCGCATATGACACACACCCGGCTGACCAAAAAAAGGATCTGAAATCTCTTTCTTTTCTTTCCCAGATGCTCGCAATGATCTTCTCATTAGTATTATACCGAGACTTTAGATATTAGCCCATCTCCTGCTTGGCTCGGCGCAGCAAAGCACCAACAGCTCTGAGAATCATCCCGGTATAGCCAGCCTGTATCACTCAGGGTCCATCTCAAATATAACTATCGTGGCCCATTAGGAGAGGATACCTGCGCTGGATCTGTGCATACTCGCTTGATGATGGATGAGGGGAAAGGGGAGGGAGACGGAGAATAGTGCAAGACAAATTGTGAACGTATTAATAAGATCACTGACTGAAATAAGCAATGTGATTTTGTGCAGGACTAGCACCAGCCTGTCTGGCCTGGGCCAGTCTTCCTGCTGATGTCCAGCTGGGACTACCCTACCCAGTAGGGCTTTGGTTGTAGGGTTAACAGGAGATGAATGGGAGGACTCCCTGCGCTCAGTGACTAATCCGCCCTTCCTACCGATGAGCCAGGATGGCTGCGCTGTCATCAGCAGTGCCTTGGAGTCCTGCTGACCCTCCTGGCTCAGGAATCAGACTAGAGAAAACCACAGAGGGTGGGCTTGATTCTGATGTTCTGTTGTCAAACGTGTCACATTGGAACCAGTTCAGTTTAAAGGAGACCCAACTTACTTCTCCAAAAGTGCAATCTGTCAGCCTAGACTGTGAGCTCAGAGGCCCCACATAGGAGGGTTCACAACCTTCCGAACCCGCAGACAAGTCGTTACAACAAGAGCAAGGCTGACACATCTCACTGTCCAGCTAGAGATATCTCTCTCTATCCAACCTGCTCTCTCCCTCTCTGTTCTCAGTTATTTAGTGACAGATGAGTGGCCTGTGTAGCAGGTGTGACCGACCGGGCAGTGGGTAACACAGAGCTCGGGAGCTTATGTGTTGCAGGTTTATTGATGTTGAGGTAAAGCTGGGAGCAAGTGAAGCCGCGGTTGTGAGACACAGTGACGGCCGCTGTCAAGACACCAGCACACGGGCGCATGGAACTCAGCTCCAGAGTCACAGTTCCCTACCCAACCCCCTCCCGCATCTACCCACCCCCACCTCCACCCGCGGGCTCCAGACAGAACACTAGAAGCTGCCGTGTGAGCTCAGCAGGCCGCTCACGCCTTCTTTGGCTTTCTCCCGACCTGGTAATAGAAATGCAGGCTGACGAGAATGAAGAGGCCTCGGCTGGAGAGCAGCATGGTGGCTCCCTGGGACAGCACTCCCGTCTCAAACAGCGGCAATGTGCTCACTGCAAAGCAAAACACAGAGCAAAGAGTCAGTTAGCTCAACAACATAGAGAGAGCCCACCCCAGTGTAACCTCAGGCAGCCAGAGGGATAATAATAATGATGATCCTTGCATTTGATATATCGCATTATCACATCTTCGAGATATCTCAAAGTGCTTCACAGAATATACTGTAAAGTGAATTGACTTGTATTTTGTGGGCGAAACGTGGCAGCCAATTGCACACAGCAGCGTCCCACAAACAGTCGTGGATTGAGTGACCAAATTATAATTTTTTTTGAAGGGATTATTACCCCCAGAAAAGCAATCCGCCAATCGACTAACAAACAGTTCCTACTTACTGCCAGGAAATCAGGGGAGTATGGTGTAAGGAAACTTGCCCATCGCTTCGCCCGGCCCAGGAATCAAACCCAGGTCCTCTCACTTGCGAGGCGAGTGCTCTGACCACTGAGCTCCAGATTCCTCACTGTAAGCTGTCAGTGAGGGGAGGGGGGAGGTAATGTATTGTTGTTCAAGCTCCGATGCTGACACAAAGACAGACACAATGGGCGACACAGTTGGCTGCACTCACGTCACGCTTTTATAAACCGAACATCTGCTAGCCAGCCAGCAAAAGCTCTCACCGCATGCTCCGGCCAATGTTTTGTGGCTGTTGCTCAGCTCAGCCACAGCCAGGAGTTCTGGGCGAGAACCGAGAGCCCCTCCCCTCCCTTCCCCATCTGTTCAGGGTCTGACATCCCCTGGGCACCAGCCGGCGTTAAGCATAAAGCCCACCCACAGGGCACCTCAGCAGTGTCGGTGGAACTGCTGCCACCCTGTGGTCTGACTGGTACTGGAACATCTTCGCTCGCCTTCACTTGGCTGCCCACTCAACAACCAACTTGCATTTATGCAACGCCCCTCGCGCAGGGCGGCTCCTCACCCAGAGCTCCTTCACAAACTGCAATTTGTTGTTGTTGGCGCCTTGGGCGTTCCAAACTCTAAACAACACAGACAGCCACCCTACAGGCCCTCTGTGAGGGCGAGTGGCAATGGGCCGGGTTGAGACCGAGGCGAGAGCTGTGAGGGCAAAGGGTGAGGGTGAGGTCAGAGGGTGGGGGTGAGGACAGAGGGTGGGGGTGAGGGCAGCGGGTGGTAAAATGAATCTTGAAACCCACCTAGAAACTGCACTGCACAGTAAGCCGCCTCCATCAGCAGGGTCCATCGGATGATGATCTTCTCCGCAGTGTATAAAGCGTTCCACATGATCAGCGAGATGCCTGACGGACACACACCAAGTGTTAGAGAGAAAAATCTGTGTGGCTATAAATTACATTTGTATAGCGCCTTTCACGTCAGGAGCATGTCCCAAGGCCCTGGAGGTCTCCTTGGGGGTGAACCGGGGGTGTTTGACAACAGAATATCAGAATCGAGCCAGTACTCTGTGACAGAATTGAGAATCGAGCCAATATCTAGACCGGTGCTTGAGCGGTTTCACAGTATTCCAGGACACGGCTGATGGCAGCACAGCCAGCCTGGATCATCAGCAGGACCTGGAAGAGCAGACCAGTCAGTGGGGGCATTCACCTGAAGAGGCATCACAGAGTATAATAATATAATAATGATGATAATCATTGCGTTTGATATAGTGCTTTACAATGTCTTTGATACGTCTTAAAGCGCTCCACAGAATAATAATAATAATAATAATAATAATCCTTGCATTTGATATAGCACTTTTCACGTCGGGAGGACGTCCCAAAGCGCTTCACAGAACACACTGTAAAGTGAATTGACTATATTTGCGGGCGAACGCGGCAGCCAATTGCGCACAGCAATGTCCCACAAACAGTCGTAGATTGAAAATGACCAATTTATTATTGTTTTTGGTTTTGGAGGGATTATTATTAGGCTCTGTGTGGAGTAAGGAAACTTGCCCAAGGTTTGGCCCTCTGCCTGGAATTGAACTCAGGTCTCTCGCTTGCAAAGCGAGTGCTCTAACCACTGAGCCACAGGACTCCACTCCGGTAAAGTGAATTGACGGTATATTTTCTGGGTGAAACGCAGCAGCAATTGCTCGCAGCAGCGTCGTGGATTGAGTGACCAAATTATAAGCTATCAATCGACTAATAACCAGGTTCCTACTTACTGAGAGGTAAACAGAGGTGTGTGGAGTGAGGAAAGAGTTACCCCGTTACAACCAGTTTGGGAACAGAACCCAGTGATGAGAGTGCCTGACACGGTTTACACACACACACACACAGCAACATCCCGCACTCATACACACCAACCCCCCACCCCCACATACACAGCCACACCCGGTGTGCAAACAAACACACACACACACACCCCCAGCACTATGGTTCAGGGAGAGGTACTCACTGAGCAGAGCTCCTCCATACAGCCTGACAGAGGTTCTGCTGTTGGCTGTGTCCTCGTCAAACACAATGTTGTACAGTTGCTCTGGGAAGAGCAGCGCCTGAGAGAGAGAGACCATTAGTCTCCACACACCTCACCCCCACACCCGTCCCCCCACAGGTTAGCCCGTTCTCCTTTCCCCACCCCCCCACAAACTAGCCCTCCCACACCGCCACACCACCCCCCACCACCAGCCCTCCCCCCACCCCCCCACACACTAGCCCACTCACACCACCCCCCCGACCCCCACAAAACCCCCCACACACCAGCCATCCCACACTAACCCCACAACAACCCCCAGCCCTCTCCACACCCCACACCAGCCCTCCCCACACACCAGCCCTCCCCACCTCCACCACTCGCCCTCGCCACCCCTCCCCACACACAATAACCCTCCCTGCACCCACTCCCTCCAACCACACACACATATCTCCCCCGCCCCAAACAAATACACCAGCTCCCCGTGGACCCACTCCTCCACATCCCTGCTCCCCCATTCCTCCCTGCTCCACAAACACAAACACAATTATGATAATAAATGGCAATTAAAAAGTTAACAGAAACTCACCATGACGGCAACAACCGTGAACATGACGGCCGACACCAACTGCCACAGCCTGAGAGACAGGAACACAAAGTGAAGCACTGCCCAGCCATGTCCACAGCCCCAACCCCAACCCAGCCCCAGCCTCAATCAAGCCACAATGCTGCCCCAAACTAGCCCCAACCCAGCCCCAACTCAGCTGCAACCCCAGCTCTGCACCAACCCCCAACTCAACCCCAACCCCAACCCAGCCTCAGCTCAGCCCCAACCTAGCTCCTACCCCAGCCCCAACCAAGCCCCAAACCCAAACCAGTTCCAACCCCAACTCTGCCCCAACCCAGCCCCAACCTGAGCTCCAGATTCCTCACTGTAAGCTGTCAGTGAGGGAGGGGGGAGGTAATGTATTGTTGTTCAAGCTCCGATGCTGACACAAAGACAGACACAATGGGCGACACAGTTGGCTGCACTCACGTCACGCTTTTATAAACCGAACATCTGCTAGCCAGCCAGCAAAAGCTCTCACCGCATGCTCCGGCCAATGTTTTGTGGCTGTTGCTCAGCTCAGCCACAGCCAGGAGTTCTGGGCGAGAACCGAGAGCCCCTCCCCTCCCTTCCCCATCTGTTCAGGGTCTGACATCCCCTGGGCACCAGCCGGCGTTAAGCATAAAGCCCACCCACAGGGCACCTCAGATAATAATAATAATAATCATTGCATTTGATACGGCGCCTTATCCCGAGACATCTCAAAGCGCTTCACAGGATACACTGTAAAGTGCATTGACTGTGTGTTTTGTGGGTGAAACGCGGCGGCCGATTGAGCACCGCAGCGTCCCACAGAGCCGTGGATTGAGGGACCATATTGTTTTTTTTTGAAGGGATTATTACCCCCGAGAAAGCGATCCGCCAATCAATTAACAACCGGGTTCCCACTTACTAGTACGTAAACAGAGACGTGTGGAGTAAGGAAACTTGCCTAACGTTTCACCGTAACCCGCCCAGGAACCAAACCCAGGTCCTCTCGCTTGTGAGGCGAGGGCTCTAACCACTAAACTACAGGACCCCACTGCTCACCGATACACTGACACTTTATTGCGTGAAAACATGATTCAGATTGATGATTACACAGCGCCTTACGTTGGGAGGATGTCCCAAGGCACCGGACAGTCAGGGATTTGGATCCAAGCTGGTGGTTGGGATCAGGAGGGGTGGAGGGCAGAGAGGGTGGGGGTAGGAGGGTGACCAAAGGTAAGCTCAAAGAGGAAGATCTTGAGACGGACCAGTGGAGTCGGGCGAGGATGGGGGTGATAGGGTCATGGAGTCTGGTACGGAAGAGGACACGGGCTGTAGAGTTTTGGATGATCTGCAGCCTATGGAGGGAGGTGTTGGGGAGCCCGACAAGCCTGGAGTTTGCATAGTCAAGCCTGGACGCAACCTAGGGGTCAGGTTCGACCCCCAACTATCCTTCCTCCCCCACATCCAGTCCCTCACCAGCACCACTTTCTTCCACATCAGACGCATCGCCCGTCTCCGTCAATACCTCTCCCCAAAAGCCGCTGAAGCCCTAGTCCATGCCTTTGTCACCTCTCGGCTGGACTACTCTGATGCCCTCCTCGCCGGCCTCCACTCCACCACCATCCATAAAATCCAGATTATTCACAACTCTGCCGCCCACATTCTCACCCGCACCAAACTCCGCTCCCCGACCCCCCCAGTCCTGGCCAGACTGCACTGGCTGCCTGTCCCAGAGACGATGGACTTCATGATCCTCACCCTCGTATTCAAATCCCTCCACTCCTCTGCACCCCCGACCTCTCTGACCTCCTCTCTCCTCAAAATAATACCCGTTGCCTTCGTTCCTCCAGGTCTGGCCTCCTCGTCCCGAGTCGTCCGCTCCACCCTCGGCGGCCGTGCCTTCAGCCACTATGCCCCGAGGCTCTGGAACTCCCTTCCTCACTCCCTTCGTCTCGCTCCCTCTTCCCACTTTCACGTCTCCGCTGAAGATCTTTCTTTTCGACCGCACTTTTGGTCACCTTCCCCCTCCCCCTGGCTCCCCACCCCCCCTCACCCTGGCTCGGCCCCGGGATCCGTTACTGTAAAGCGCTCTGAGACGCCGTCCGGCGTAGAGGGCGCTATATAAATCCAAGTTGTTGCTGTTGTTATGAATGTGTGTATGAGGGTTTCGGAGGCCTGCGGTGTGAGACAGTGGCAGAGCCGGGCAATGTTGCGGAGGTGGGGGATGGCAGAGTGGGTCATGGTGCAGATGTGGGGTAGAAAGGATAGTTGAGGGTCGAACAAGATGCCAAGGTTCCAGACTGACTCAGTGAGGTGGAGTGTGCAACCATGGATGGTGATGCTGTCAGTGCCTGAAGGTTGCATTGGAGTCTTTAATGAGCAACGGTGCAATGATTGCTGTGGACAGATGTCTGTTCCGCATTTCCCCTCTCGATGGGAAGAGAGGTCGCTGCTCCCGGGAGGATGGTTAATCTGACCGTCACTGCAGTGTGTGTGTGTATGAGAGACTGTGTGTGAGGGTGTATTTGCGTGTGTGAGGATGTGTGTATGTGAGTCTATATGTGTGTGAGAGTCTGTGTGTGAGGTTGTTTGTGTGTGAGGATGTGTATGTGAGGGTGTGTGTGTGAGTATGTGAGTGTGTATGTGTGTGAGTGGGTGTGTGAGAGAGTCTCTGTGTGAGTCAGTCACAGCAAGGGTTAGAGACAGAGTAAAGCTCCCTCTACACTGTCTGTCCACACTCCCAGATCCAACACACAATCTGGGGTCCCCAATCCTAGGTTCTTGCCAACCTGCGCCTAATACTTTCCGAAATTAGGTAATCAGGAAGCGTCCCTCCAGGGAGAGAGGGAGAGAGAGAGAGAGAGTGCGCATTTCATTCCAATAATCTATGTCTGGGATTTCCATGTGTAGGTGGGAGGCCTGAAATTCTCAGCTTGGTTTGGAGACTCTTAAGCAACAGTGATGGATTTCCACACGTGTCAGACACCCGGTTGACCCCCAAAAAATCAGTGGTAGCGCACGAGTTCGATACAGAGTAGAGCTCCCTGTGCTGTGCTGTGGGTGGGCAGTGTTATTGAGTGTTTGCTGGTGTGGAGCAGAGAGAGACACAGTGGGAGCTGCCGCCCACGGCTAGAATAGATTACACCCATGGCCCGGTCCATCTCCTGTCCCTTCCCCCCGCCTGCTCCCTGGGATCTTGTGGCCAAACCAGAAAGCGTTACTTTCTCTTTACCCTTTCATTGCTTCACTCAGATTTACTTAACCATTTAACCATCACTGCAACCGGTTTGTGCACAGTGATGTCCCACAAACAGCCGTTAGTCAGGACACCGGGAGACAGAAACTCCCTTCTCTTTCCAAATAATGTCGTGGGATCTTTAACATCCACCTGAACAGGTAGAAGGGGCTTTGATTTAATGTCTCAGCACCTCTGACAATATAGCGCACCTCCAGCATAGTACTGAAGTGGCAGACTGATCAATATGACTTCCAAGTCCCACTGTGGGGGCTCGAACCCACAACCTGCTGACCCAGAGGGAAGAGCGCGACCAACTGCGCTAGGCCGCACACACACAATAATAACAGTAATCCCTGCATTTGATACGGTGCCTTACCACAACGTTGAGAAGTCTCAAAAGAACTCCACAGAATATACTGTTACATGAATTAACTGTATATTTTGTGGGTGAAATGCGGCAGCCAATTGAGCACAGCAGCGTCCCACAAACAGCTGTGGATTGAGTGGTCATATTGTTATTTCTTTTAATGGATTATTAGCCTCGGAAAAGCAAACCACCAATCGATTAATAACTGGGTGCCTAATTACTGCTCGATGAGGCAGGTAGAGTAAGGAAACTTGCTCAACGTTTCACCCTGCCCAGGAATTGAATCCAGGTCCTCTTGCTTGTGAGGCGAGTGCTTTAACCACTAAGCTACAGGACACAATTTCACTTACATTAGCACCACTGTTTACTGAAAGTGTTATAGGTGTTGAGAGTAAAGAGACTGTAATTTGTCACCTGAGTCACAAATTCACACAGAAACCATTTGAGCTTTGCATTATCGACATTCTCTGAACTCTTCTATCAATTCACTGCCTGTTACTCACTGCTCACATAAACCTCAGTGTATTACGTACAGGCAGTAAATCCTCCTGACTGATGTTCCCTAAGAAATGTGGCCAAAATATTGCATCTCCCCCCATTAAACAATAATAATCTTCTCTCTTGTTGCAGCGCATGAAATATCACAACATTTCAGTATTTCACTGGCAGTTGTTGTACAGAGCTGAGAGTTTCACCCATACAATCTACAGTCAGTTCAATCTACAGTTTATTCTGTGAAAGGCTTTCAGACGTCTTGAAGACGTGATGAGGTGATATATCAAATGCAAGGATTATTATTGCAGTACAGCATCTGTGTGTTGTTGTGAACGCAGCAGTTTATCTGGGGGTGGATTGTCGGCCAGGACCCTCCTCTCGTGCCGTGGGATCCGTACCGTTCGCCTGATCAGTCCTTGGGGTGAGATGTGTGTCAGCCTGTGGTAGCGGTATCCCTCTCTCTCTCTCTCTTTTATCCCTGAATCAGAAGTTTGTGGGTTCAAGCCCCCACGTCGGAACTTGGAATCACCTAGTGTAACTTGGAATCACTGACATTCCAGTCAGCGCGGGGGGTTTGCTGTATTGTCGGAGGTGCCGTCCTTCGGATGAGACATTAAGTGGAGGTCCTGTTTGCCTGTTCAGGTGGACGTTAAAGGTCCCACGTTGCTATTCGAAAAGAGAAGGAAGTTTCTCTCCCCCGGTGTGTTGGACAACAATATTGGACAACATTGGTGACTTACTCCATGGCTGTTTGTGGGATTTGCTGTGTGCAAACTGGCTACCGCATTTTGTCCACAAAACACACAGTCGCTACACTTTTCATTGAGATGTCTCAACGACATGATGAGGCGCTATATGGGACTTGAAGGAGACAAGATAGTGGGTGAGGTGTAGGGACTGTGGGATAGAGTTCCAGAGTGTGGGGGCAGAGATGCTGAAGGCCTGACCATCGATGGTAAGGGGGAG